TTGGATTGAAGGTATTTGCTTGGATTGAAGGTAAATTCTGAATTATGCAAATTGGGTGCTAATTTTAGTGATGATTTTAGGCATGCTTCATGTCTATGGTTAGAGATTGAGTTGTTGAGGTGAAAGATATTTTCTTTTGAGTTGGATATGTGTCTTTTGTTCCAATTCTTTTTAAAATTTCAAGATGCATTCCATGGTATACAGTAATATATAAAGCATGCGACGAACCCAGGCTCGTGGGTAGCCTGCAACGAACCCAGCTTGCGGGTTCACGAAGAACCTAGGCTCCTGGGTAGCTTGGGTTCGCCTGGGGGGTAAAAGGAAAAAAAGAAAAAAAAAAAAAGGCCGGAGGAAGTGGAGTCCACGTGGAGGGTGACGTGGAGGATGACGTGGAGGATGATGTGGAGTACATGTAAGCATCTTTTACATGTTGGCATATCCACATCAGCTGTTTCAATTAAGTTAACGTGCCACGTGAGCAAAAATTAACGGAAGGACTAAAAAAGGGCCGGATTTGTGAACAGTAAGGACTAAAAAAGGGATTTTTTCGGTACAGGGATCAAAAAGGAGCTTTTTCGTATAGTAAAGGGATCAAAAAGGGTATTTAACCTAGTTAGGTTAAAACTTGTACAAACAACTAATGTGAACCTAACCAATATTACATTCAAGTTACCATTGTCATAAAATAAAAAATCCTATAGATTTAAGCTAATATATGATTAATAGTTTTTTTTTTCATAAAGGTTTAATACCCTTTTTGGTCCCTCTACTATAGGAAAAAGCCCTTTTTTGGTCCCTATACCGAAAAAATCCCTTTTTTGGTCCTTACTGTTCACAAATCCGACCCCTTTTTAGTCCTTCCGTTAAATTTTGGCTGATGTGGTAGGTTAATTAATGGAAACACTTATTCCTTTTTTTTTACTAAATTACGTGGAAAATCCACGTGGTAAAAATTGATGACATGTTAAATTTTTTACCTTTAATTACTGATATACCCTTATCTTATTCCCTGGCTTCTCCTTCCTCCAGCCTTTTTTTTTTTCTTTTTTTTCTTTTACCTCCAAGCGAACCCAAGAGCCTGGGTTCGTGAGGAACCCAGCTCGCGGGTTCCTGGGGAACCCAACTTGCAGGTTCGCGATGAACCCAAGTCTTGGGTTCGAGAGGTCTGTGCAATAGCCTTTCACCTAATTGTAGGAAAGCCCCAGAGATTTCACAGACCCAAGACCTGGTTTCCAAGAACTACTTGTCACAAATCTCTTTAGGGAGCATTTTTCTTCAATTGCCTTGGTCTCCATCGCCGTCCCATACTCATCGGTACCACACATGTATATCGCATTATACACTCGCAGACGACAGTACAGGAACATGAAACTAAAATCACTTATAGAGGGGAAATTTATTGTTGATTTGCCTCCTGGACTGCAGTTCCTGCTCTGTTGCACTATCATGATAATCAATCCTCTGCCTCCGTAGTGAGCTCCTCTGTGGAACAGAAAGCGAAGCTTCCGACCTAGAACTTCTATTTCTGCCATGCCTGAGCCAAGGGAGAAGGATAATTAATGCAAGGAAGATGATGAAAGCGAGTACAAAAACAAGCAACAGGATTTCGCCATGCAGAGCATAGTGCCTGTCATTTTTCGAAAGAAGCCCGTCTTATGGTTCTAAACCCACGGGATCCATAGCCGGTGAAGGTTGGAAGCTGGGTTCCTCGTGAACTCGGCGAGCTGGGTTCCTGCCACGCCTGAGCCAAGGGAGAAGGATAATTAATGCAAGGAAGATGACGAAAGCGAGTACAAAAACAAGCAATAGGATTTCGCCATGCAGAGCATAGTGCTTGTCATTTTTCGAAAGAAGCTCGTCTTGTGGTTCTAAACCCACGGGATCCATAGCCGGTGAAGGTTGGGAGCTGGGTTCCTTGTGAACCTCGCGAGCTGGGTTCCTCGCGAACCCAAGAGCTTGGGTTCGCCTGGAGGTTAAAAAAAAAAAAAGAAAAAAAGAAAAAAAGGCTGTAGGAAGGAGAAGCCGAGGACAAAGACAGAGGGTATATCAGTAATTAAAAGTAAAAAATTTAACATGTCATCAACCACGTGGATTTTCCACGTAATTTAGTAAAAAAAAAAAGAATGAGTGTTTCCGTTAATTAACCTGCAACATCAGTCAAAATTTAACAGAAGGACTAAAAAGGGGTCGGATTTGTGAACAGTAAGGACCAAGAAAGGGATTTTTTCGGTACAGGAACCAAAAAAGAGCTTTTTCCTATAGTAGAGGGACCAAAAAGGGTATTTAACTTAAAATAAAATGCTAATAGTATATGTTAGTCTATCTCTTATTAAAAAAATTAGAGTTTTAACTTTAAAAATATTACATTTCAGTGAATATTTTAAAAAATTAATCTTTATATTTAATGATCAAATGATGTAAATCAACCCCTCAACTCATCTGTAGCGATAAATCAACCCTTCCGTTAAGCTGACATCATCATCTGTTAACCTGACATCATCATCTGTTAACCGTTAACAATCCACCCATAAGCCCCTCTGCGTCTGACGTGGTTTTTTTTTTTTGGGGTTTCAAAGTTTTAATCTTTGCTAACAGGTTTTTAGAAAAAAAAAAAAATCTTTACTAACAAAAAATCTTTTTTTTTTTTTTGTGAAAAATGATTTCTTGGAAGGATTTGTACATCGTCTTGAAGGTGGTGATTCCGCTTTACGTGGTGATGATCTTGGCATACGGGTCGGTGCGTTGGTGGAAGATTTTCTCGCCGGACCAGTGCTCCGAGATCAACCGTTTCGTCGCCATATTCGCCATCCTACTCTTGTCTTTCCACTTTATTTCAACCAACAATCCGTACAAAATGAATTACAAGTTCATTATCGTTGATACACTTCAGAAGATTATCATGCTCGTCTTCCTTATGGTGTGGACGAATTTTACTAGGAACGAAGCTTAGAGTGGATGATAACCATTTTCTCACTCTCTACTCTGCCCAATACTCTGGTCATGGGCATTCCACTGTTGATCGCCATGTACGGCCAAGACTCCGGCAGCCTTATGGTCCAGGTGGCGGTTCTCCAATGCATCATCTGGTACACTCTGCTTCTTTTTCTCTTCGAGTACCGTGGTGCCAAGATCCTAATCATGGAGCAGTTCTTGGAGACTGACGCCTCGATTGTCTCCTTCAAGGTGGATTCCGACGTTGTCTCACTCCATAGATGGGAATTTCTGGAAACCGACGCTGAAATTGTAGAAGACGGGGAGCTTCACGTCACTTTGTGGAAATCAAACGCTTCTCGTTGCTCCTTCGCAATGACGCCATGGCCATCCAATCTTACCGGTGTTGAGATATACAGCTTAAGCTCATCCCGGAATCCAATGCCCAGAGGTTCGAATTTCAACCATTCTGATTTCTATCCCATGATGGGAATTCAGGGGTTTCGAGGAAGACAGTCCAACTTTGGTCCGGCCGATTTATACCCTGTTCAATCATCAAGAGGGTCGACTCCGAGACCCTCAAAATTTGAAGAAAATTGTATAGCAATGTCTCCGAGGTTCGGGTTTTACACTAGATATCCTCAAAATATGGTAATTTCATTAACAATTCAGAGCTTGATGAAGAAGCCATGCTTGATGAATTGCATATCTTAAAGAAACAGTTTTCAATTTTTGAAAGGACGAAGAGGGAAAGAAGACGATAAAAGCTAGCAGAAGTAAAGCCCCATTTCCCTAGATCCCTAATTTTATTTCTTGACCAATTTAAGGGCATAAAAGTAATTTGATTAATTTGATGATTTTGGGGTATTTGTCCAAGTCGCACCTCCATCTCAGCATCTATCTCAGCAAAAAAAAAAAAAAGCCACATCAAACGCAGTGTAAGGGCTTATGAACGGATTGTTAAAAATTAACGGAGTAATGATTTCAACCTTAACAGAGGAGTTGATTTGTCACTGCAGGTGAGTTGAGAGGTTTATTTACCGTGAAGTGGGTTGAGGGGTGATTTGCATGTTTTGCCGTCATTTTATTTGGAATTTTCCTTCTTTAATAAGAGGACTTTTAACTTGTCAAAAGCTCAAAACATACTATTATGCGCTGGAACTTATAATTATAAAATGAGTGTTTGGTGCAGTTAGTGATTTTGCAATTGAGAAGGATTTTGCAATTGAGAAGGATTTTTCAATAACTCCACCAAACACACACAAAGTCAACAGCTCCACCAAACAGACACGAAAGTCAACAGGTTGGTGTGTTAAGAAATATTAAATAACATAAGAATAAAAAAATTATTTTGAAGTGTGATCTCACTTTTTTTAAAGATTTAAAATATTTTAGAATACAACAGAACTCAAAACTCTCTCAGAATTTGATGTAAAACTCTGACATTGCATAAAAATTTATAATGCCTGAAAAGTCACTATTTGAAAAGATGTATCCTCCTAAAAGACATCATTTTATAGAGATGCCTTTTGACTGTTAATAGTCATATCTGATTTTCAGATATGTCTTTCCAAATTATAATTTAGTAAAATAAAATAAAAAATTCGAAAATAATAAAAAATTAAAGATGTTATGACAGTCAAACCCCAAGGTACCGTAAACCCTAAATCCTAAACCCTAAGAAGTAAAAACAAAACCCTAAATCTTAAATGCTAAGAAGTAAAAACAAAACTTAAAATCAGTTTTAATTACCTTTGGAAAGACACTCTCCTTTGGGAAGACACTCTTAAGAGGTATTCATATAAACTCCATGTGTGTGTGTGTGTTTTTTTTTTATTTTAAGATAATTGAGATTATATGTGTCAATAACTACAAATATCTTTTATATAAAGATTGAGCATGTACGAATTTACTGTAACTTCCGCGCAAAAAGAGTGAACTTGACCTGATGCAGCTTGACTGCCGAAGCTTGAGCTTGCTTAAGCAGGGTCTTAGATCATCCGAGGCCATTTACCTCGAATTATCATCACACATCCTTATCCTTGTGGAAAATAAAGATGATTGATTATATTCTGAACCATCCTGCACGACTAAGATATTGAAAATGTCATCTCCAAATAAGCACGATTATGACTTCTGTGGTTACCCATTACGTGTTGAATTTGTCTGTCCACCTAACTTAATGCCTGACAAAGTCAGCTACGGTTTTTGCGACACTGAAACTTGTCAAAGGTATATTATTCTTAAATTTTATTTTTGATTTAATTATTAAAATCATTAATAATTAATAAATTAATTCATATTATTATTTAATTTATTAAAATTAATTTTTAAATAAATATTTTTAAATATAATAATTATTGCTTTAAAAATTTATAAATAAAATAATAACAAATTATGTAACCCTGACAAAGCTACATCTGCGATGATCACTCTAGCGAATACACTCTTAACCCTTACCTCATCAATTAATTCTGCACCACATATCGTAGGAAGAGATTATAGTCACTTAAAATTAAGAATTTTTTTTATAAATAAATAATTATAATTTTTAAAATTTTTAATTTATTTACTAATTTTAATTTATTAAGTAATATATTAATTATTTTATTATTAATTAGTTAACCATTGTAATTGATAAATTAAATTTATATAGATATTAATGCAAAATTTTTATCTTGATATTATTAATATTTGGATGAGTTTTATAAGATTTTATTTGATTTTACATATTTTTTTTTTCAAGAAAGGAATTAATTGAAATATAATCATAATTTTCAGAAGTAAATTGCAGAGATCAGAAAATTGAGGATTAACTTGTGCAGAATCCAGAAGTTAGGGACCAGAATGTTATTTTACCATTACAGAAATTGCTGAGAAGGCCAAAACCCGACACTGTGGCGGTGTTGTGCGCTGAACAGAAGGTGTCGACACCTTGTTGAAGGTGTTGATCCCGTACGTGATTTTCACTAATTTATTATTTTAAGTGTGAGTGTCACTTCTATTCTAATTATAGTTTTTAAAATACTATAAATACTTGTCCAAATTCAGAATTAGAGTGAGTTTTGAAGGCTAGTGGCAGCGTTCTTTTGGGTATTTTTAGAAATCAAGATAGATGATTCATCAATAATAAAAGATCAAGAATTTTAACTTCCTCAAATTAAGTTTTATTTTTCTTTCTTTTTATCTATTATTTGATATTTGAATGTTTATAATTATAATTTAAAATTTTATTATTTTTATTATGAACTAATTTATTTTATTAACGTTTTGATATAATCTAATCAATTTAATATATATTTTGTGATTTTTATACTTTCAATTAAAGTTATTCACACGATGAGTTTATATTATTGAATTTAATGCATTGAAAACCTAATTACTTTTCGATTGATTTAGTGATTTATGTATGAATTTGAGAAAAAATTACGTAAATTAGACAAATAATAATATAAGCCATGTGTTAGACTATGAGACCAAAAAGTCATTAGCTCACATGTGGTAGTAAAGGAAGAAAAGAGAGTTAGGAGCTCCGCGTTCTAAGTTAGAGATTTTCATAGAATTTAATACTCATTAATTTATTTAAAATTATATAGAAACATGATTAATTCAAGTAAAAGATTAACTTGACTTAAGAAAGCTAATTAATTCGTTTAGGAAAATCCGTCATCACATGCAATAACACTCAACAAATCAGTTTTAGAAGCATATTAATTCAGAATTTATATTGATTGATTATGGTGAAATCAATGCCTTAATACTTCATATCTTAGTTAGGTTTATTTTAATTGTTATTTTCTTGTTATTATTTTTAATTAAAGTTTCTTGCTATTTGATTGTTCAAATAAATTTAGATTAATTATTTTGATATTTAATTAATCATAATTATCGTGGATTCGACACTCTTTTCATTATTATATTATTTGGGGCAATTAATACACTTGTTAGGGTGATTTTAGGACATCAATAATTATAAGTTATATTTTACTATTTTTTATGTTAATTATTTTTTATTATTAAATTAAATTAATTTAATTTTTAACAAAATTAAATTATAAAAAAATTATATAACTTTAACGATACATAGCTATAACCTGGCCCACATTAATTTCAATAGGTGTGATAAAATAGGCAAAAGCTTACTTTTAGCACCTCACCTTACCAGATTTGAAGATTTTAGCCATTTACCTATTATGACATTTTTAACCCTTCACCTTAATAGATTTGTAAATTTTAACCCCCCATCTTATATTATGACACTTTTAGCCCCTCATCTATTAAAATTGAAGAAAATAATCCTCATTTTGTAACATTTTGTTAGTTCTGTTAGTTGACTGTTAAATTTATTAATTGATTGTTAACTTTATTAACTAATTGTTAATTAACTGTTAACTTACAAAAATCTTCTTTCAGCTAACAAAATTAACAAAATTAACTTTATAATATTTCGTTAATTCTATTAACTGATTATTAATTGATTGTTAGTTGACAAAAATCTACTTTAAGCTAACAGAGTTAACAATCAGTATAAAGTGAGGGCTATTTTCTTCGATTTTAATAAGTGAGGGGCTAAAAGTGTTATAGTATAAGGTGAAGGGCTAAAACCTTTAAACTTGATAAGATGAGGGACTAAAAGTAGATTTTTACCAATAAAGTGTAGTGTAGTTTGACACAACGTGATCCACTCAATAGATAACATGTCAAAACCACAACAGTCTTTTTTATGGTTTCAAAGAAATCCTTTTATCAAGATATAATCCCTATTACACTTTCCCAGATAAGTCTTTAAATTTTATTATGGTTTTATAAAAACCTAGAAGATAATCTCCCTCACTTTTCTAGAAATCATCAAAAAATCATCAGTACACTTCCAAATAAGCCTTTATACTTATGCCTCAAGATCTCAAAATCAATATCTGTAAGAGCTCACAAAAATCATCAGTATAATGCACATGCATCATTATAAAATAATAAGTGATACAATAAGTAAAATAAAACTTATTATTAATAGAGAAATCAACTTCTCCCATTGATCAAGAATATCTAAAATAATTCTCATAAATAACTAATAAAATTATAATATCTTTATCAGTAAATTAGTTAATATAGTCACAATAATACATTACTAGAATCATTATTCATAATTTCACTTTTATATCACTCTTACTTTAGATCAACAATTCCCTTGGATATGTCTCTTCTACCAAGTTCGATCAATAAGTTATCTATATAAATAACTAACACCATCAAATATAAAATATTTTAATGAAAACAATCGTCCATGATCTATTACTTAAAATATGACATGATCTTTAAATTTTAATCAAACACAAAAATACAAGAGTGACAAGACTTTATTAACTTTACTAAATATAATTGCATCTTTTACAAGGATTATTTTCCATATAATTCATAACACGTGTCTAAAAGGTTTCTCTATTGCAACTATGCAACTAAGCAACTTTCTCATATCCATAATCTTATCATTATACATTGAATGATTGAGAGTAATAAACTATTTAACTCTCCCATTAATTTTCTAAACATATTATTTGATCATAACCTTTAAATGTCCTCTAATCAAAAAAAGTTATTTCCATAAATAATAATTGGCATTTCACAAGATCTTAAATTTTGTATTACCTTTATCATGATTACTAATACCTTCCTTTTACCATTTTTCTAGTTAAACAATAAAATAGTAATATTGTACAATTCAAACCCATCATGCTAGAAAACATGTATCTCCAAACTTAATCAAAACTTATGCAATCAAAATATAAATTACTTAAGAGATATATAAATTAGCACCAATCGCACGTTGACAATATAATTTAATAATAAAACTTTTTTTCCATAAAATGCCTTATAATATACTTTAATCCACATCATGATTTACTTTAACTCATAAAAGTTCAAGACACAACTGCACTTTATTTGCACTTTATGTTGATTAAATAAGTTCATAAAATTAAACCTTAACAAGTCAATTAGTAAAAAAATTAACCTTTAGTAAATATGAATAAATACTTATCATCCTTATTAATTGCTCCTACTACCTTAATTTAATGCATACAACAACCACCTTTGGGTAAAATATTGCATGCACTAATATGAAAGTAGCAA